AACTGAGCCGAGGATCGAACCAACGACCTTTTTGCTGTGAGGCAACAGCACTACCTACTGCGCCACTGCTTCGACTATAGCTTAAGCATATCATAATTATAGGTTACAAATAATGCAAGAACCTCGCCAGTTGTCATTTTAATGATTAGATATAAGACTTTTATCATAACATTATCAGTTAAACCATTTCATAAAATTACATTGAAAGTAAAGTCATAACGATGAAAATGAGACATTTTTCGATATTAATATTGTATAGTTTATTTCAATAAAAATTGCATAGTTTATTTCACCCTTAACATACATTCAGAGATTTGTTAGTTTCATATAAATTACTCGGGATGTTGCATGTGTTATTATATTGAATCAGATTTACTCCATGTATTCTGCAATAAGTCCTGACCAAAATAAGGGTTTTGTTTTATTTCTCATCATTTACACTGAATGGAACCATTATTTCACCCACATGTTGACATTTTGATTTTGATTTTCATTTATTTTTGACATTTTATCAACAACAACCCAGCATTTTAGTGCAGTAAATAAATAAACTTTTATATTAAAAAAAGTGATTGATAGGAAGAAAGAAAGAAAGAAAAAATGAAGGAAGGAAGGAAAACAAGCATTAGATGGGTGGATGTATGAATTATTCCAACATGACCATACGTTCAGAATTTTCTTTTGATTTCATATAAACTACTCACCGCCACATGTGTTAGGGTGAAAAATGAATCCACACTCCAGTTAATTGATAAAATAACCATGCCCTGTAAAAAAATCTAATCTCAAAATGGCAAGACGACTAATATTTTCATATTGCTTTGACCTTTTAATGTCTAATAAGTTATTCAGGCTTCAACTAACTAAGTCATACAAAGTTTAACATTATATTTTATTCAGTTTAATAGATGCAAGTTAAGATGGCTAGAAAAGTTCAGCAAAAATCAGTCCACAGCTCTCAAAATGTGGAAAAAAGTATTAAAAAAAAACCTTTATTGACATGGCTATTTCTTAAACAGGCGCAGTTTTAAGGAATAACCATGTCAAAAAAGGCTTTTAAATATTTTTTTTCCGCATTTTTCGAGTGCCTTGGACTGACTTTTGCTGTTTATTCTGATGAATACCTTAGCCAAAGAGCACTGATACATTATTTAAGCTACCGCTGAGCACTTTTTTATTTTATTTATTTATTTATTTTTAGATTTTTGGACTAGAAAAGTTCAGTTAATTCAACAAAAAAAAAATGTAGGCAGCAATGCTTCTACAGCGTATAGTTGAAAAATAAAGTATAATAATAAGAATATAAGAATAACAAATGCATTATGAGGGTTTGAAATATGAAACATTTGCTTGTAAGTTTCCTAAAGTCTCTTTTATGTGTAGTTTGAAAGTAGCTTGGCAATTTTTCCTGATGAGTAGCTTGTAGTTATCAAGCTACAGACACAGTAGCTTCCCTACATTGCAGTTTGTACAGTATAATAAATAAATATGCCTATGGAATTTCCCCTATATTCACCAAAATAAACCTGTGTTTGTGTGAGTGTGTGTGTAAGTGTGTGTGTGTGTGTGTGTGTGTGTGTGGTCAGATAAGGACTGGCGTGTGTGGACCTGTGTGGATTCTCAGTGGGTGCGGCTGTGGTGCAGATTTCAGGCTGTGCTTTTATGGAAGTGTGTAGAAACTCCTCCGCTTCACATGTTTCTGATGGCAGATTAAAATAGTTCACCCAAAAATTAAAATGTAATCACTGTCGACCTCCATTTGTTTTTCCTGTACTTTGGAAGTCATTGGGTACATGTTTTAAGCATGTTCGAAACAAGTATGATGATAGAATTTTGTGAACTGTCCCTTTAATTGGTTGAATTTTATTACAAAAACACACGCATTGTCCTTTGTGCTAGTGGGAGTTGTGGCCTTGTGAAATATTGCCAACAGAATAATATTTTCCGAGCATGTCGGAAAGCTGTCGCCTCAGTTTTAGTGAATTTATATGAGACACAAACATAGAAAATGGAAATTTGTGAAGGCTAAGGCACTGTAAATGTCAAACTCTCCTCACATTGCACAGGTGAGCCACCGTATGTAGGAGTGACTGGAGTGTGTGTTACTTCCATAAAAGGCGTTTGTTTCTTGTATTGAGGAGGTGTGTCGGTGACTAGGGAGGTATGGGGAAGTTTGTGTGTAACATGTATAGATAACAAGTGCAATAAACGCTGATAAGCAACATTTATGTTCATATAATGAGCGATTCATAAATATAAGTGAAGTTTAGGAGGTGTGAGGCTCTTTGGATTGTGTTTAGTCTGTTGTGTATAAAGCGTACAACTGTAATGGAGCAGGAACTAGGATATATTGGAGATTTTAATGCTGTTGTTTATTAGCAATATGTAAATTGCATGTCATGAAAAGTAATTGAGAGTAATAATCAGTGCGAGTCAAAGAAGATTGTAAGGTAAAGGTCATTTGAGTCCATTTCAGGATCACACCACTGAGTTTTCTCATTTGTCAGCTAGATGAATATAATATTTTCATACCGAATCATATTTTTTCTTTGTATTATGTAATACATGTCATCCAGACCATAATAAGTGTCTTGTTTTATTTCTGTTTAAATATATCAATTGCACTGAACGTAACCCTTATTTGTTTTAAGGTTTTTAAACCCTTTTATCTACAACAACTTTTAAGTTTTAGTGTAGTAAATAAATTATTATTAAAATTAAATATATATATATGATAAAAAAGATGGATGGATGGATGGATGGATAGAAAACAAGCACTTATACATTTATTAGACCCCCATTGATTTTTTTTTTCTTTTTCTTTTTCAAATATTTCCCAAATGATGTTTAACAGAGCAAGGAAATTTTCACAGTATGTCTGATAATATTTTTTCTTCTGGAGAAAGTCTTATTTGATTTATTTCAACTAGAATAAAAGCAGTTTTTATTTTTTTTACAACCCATTTTAGGGTCAAAATTATTAGCCCCTTTAAGCTAATTATTTTCTGATAGTCTACAGAACAAACCATCGTTATACAATAACTTGCCTAATTCCCCTAACCTGCCTAGTTAACCTAATTACTCTAGTTAATCCTTTAAATGTCACTTTAAGCTGTATAGAAGTGTCTTGAAGAATATCTAGTCTAATATTATGTGCTGTCATCATGGCAAAGATAAAATAAATCAGTTATTAGAGATGAGTTATTAAAACTATTATGTTCAGAAATGTGTTAAAAAAAATCTGCTCTACGTTAAACGGAAAATGGAGGAAAAAAATAACAAGCGGGCTGATAATTCTGACTTCATTCATTCATTTTCTTGTCGGCTTGGTCCCTTTATTAATCTGGGGTCGCCACAGCGGAATGAACCGCCAAATTATCCAGCACATTTTTACACAGCGGATGCCATTCCAGCGGCAAATAATTCTGACTTGTTAACTATAATTCAACTGCATGAAGAGTTTAGATGCAAAAGCCTCTAAATGCCATCTGAAATGTTTTTCTAAAATTAACTTTTTTTTTCAGTCTGCTGTGTTTATATGCTGTATTTGATTTAAAAGGCATTGAGGATTGATGGATGAATGGATGGATGGAAGTATAGATAGATATATGGATAGATAGATGGATGGATGTGTAGATGGATAAATAGATGGATAGAAAACAAGCACATGAGTTCAGACTCAAACCTCTAAATGCCATCTGAAATATCTTCTAAAATTAGCATATATATACAGTCACCTATGTATATATGCATGATATATGTCTATATGGCAATGTATATAGTCTTATCTACACCTATATATATGATATATATATATATATATATATATATATATATATATATATATATATATATATCATATATATATATATATATATATATATATATATATATATATATACATATATATATATATATATATATATATATATATATATATATATATATATATATATATATATATATATATATATATTATACACAGTTGAAGTCAGAATTGTTAGCCCCCCTAAATTATTCACCCCCCCCTGTTTATTTTTTCCCCAATTTCTGTTTAACAGAGAGATTTTGTTTCAGCACATTTCTAATCATAATAGTTTTAATAACTCATCTCTAATAACTGATTTATTTTATCTTTGCCATGATGACAGTAAATAATATTTGACTAGATATTTTTCAAGACACTTTTATACAGCTTAAAGTGACATTTAAAGGCTTAACTAGGTTAATTAAGTTAACTAGTCAAGTTAAGGTAATTAGG